CTGTCGCCGGACTACCGGCAGTCGCGGCGCGAGCTGGCGCCGGCGCCGCCGCGGGCCGGCACTCCGCCCCGCGGCCGCGCGCCCTCGCCGGCGCGGCCCCCGCCGGGGGCGGAGGCGCCGCGGCCCGAGTTCGCGCTGGCCTCGTGGCAGGCGCCGCGCCGCGCCAGCGCCGCCTCGTCGGGCGAGGAGCGCGCGTACGGCGCGCTGGCCAAGGCGAGCGCGCCGCTGGGCGCCAACGTGGCGCGCGCCGGCGGCGACAAGACGGGCGGCAAGGCGCTGCGCCGCAAGGTGCTCAACACGGAGCGGCGGGCCTGTGCGCGCCTCCACAACGGCGCCTCGACGGCGGCGCCGCCCCTCGCCCGCCGCGCCGCGCGCCAAAGGGCCGCCGTGCGCGCGCTGCTGGCGCTCAGCGGCGCCTTCTACGCGCTGGCGCTGCTCGCCTTCTACTTCCTCAGCCTGCCCTGACCCGCCCGACGGGATCTAGTGCCATAATACTTTAAGCTCTCATTTCGTGTACATCTTCGGAGAATATTTATCTTGTACGGTCACTACGAGTATATCAGAAAATATATCTCCATGAATATAAATGAGATTTAAGTTGTATTCTTAAATGTGCTTCCTTTGAAAGAGGTGCGTTTAGGACAAACAAAATAAGAGATCGTTATTTTTAATTTTATAAAGTGTGTTTTATATATGAAAATATGAATAAAGCTCTATTTTTAATTTAAACAAACGAGCATAGATTATTTGACATTCATTGTCTATTTAACTTCTAGTTATTAATTTGGTTACATTAATTGATTGTTTTGATAATAATAAATTACGAAAATCCTTAAATTGTTTATTAATCAGTACCCGTGTTTCATCACTCATCTAATAAAGAAAAATTTTTCACTATTGCACTTATTGAAAAGTCACTGACCTGACTGAAAAGAACCGGCAAAAGAACCTAACCTGGACATTTTTTTTACCATTAGATCAGAAGAAACATGTTTAAAGACGTATTGAAGTCCACTTGAAAGGGCCTGGACCGATCAATTCATTTCCGATTTATTAAGATATATAGTGTGTTCGGGAGTATAATCATGTGTTGAATAAAAAAGCTTAGAAAAGATGTTAACGACTATTAATTATACACTGACGGTTAAAAGAAGGTTAATTACATATGAGTATCAAATTTTTAATTAAGACTTCCTGCTATGATAAAATTCGCAGGCGCTTATAAATAAATTTAAAGTTTGTATAATTTCTGAACATGCCCCCGGCCGTTGAAATCTTGAATTTCAACTAATTTACTGGTCATCAGGCTTAGATAGAGGACAGATAGTTGAAAATGATCGTCTTGTAATCGATCCATTGGCGATCCTGACGTCTGCCACTCTAGTGATGCCGTCGGAACCGGGATAAATGCCAATAGCTCGCCCCAGCTCCCACTTCAAAGGCTGCAGATTTAACTCTTTTATTAAAACGAGCAAATCTAGTTTTAAATCATCGTTCGCTGTTTTAGTTCCGACACATATTCTTTGCACCACCTCTTCCAGAAGTGTTGGCGAAGCTGTTCTATTTGTTGGAGTTGAGTTATTGGTAGAACCATCCTGGTTATCTGGAGCTGGTGTTGATAATAATGGGCGACCAATGAGGAAATGCCCGGGTGTCAGTGGCATCAAGTCGTCCCGATGTAAAAACAGCGGTGTTAGCGGACGAGAATTTAAAATTCCTTCTATAAGTATTGTTAAGCTCTTCGTACTGTTACGGGACTAAATTGAAACCCGTTTTTAAAAAGATTATTTATTATAAACTGTAAAAAAAACACTAGTTATAATTATGAAATATTATTAGGGATCCTTGGGCAGCCGTTATCGCGCGTGTATACTTTAGCGGATCGTCTAGACTGACGATAGGTTCGTGATAGACTAGCGGGAGCGCCGAAGGATGGGTTTAAGTACAGAAAGAAATGATGATAAGGGATTTTGGCATGGTGGGGAAAAGGGGGTCGTAAGCATAACCCCTTACATTGACCGGTTATAACACCTCCCCCCATAGGGTAAACTTAGGACAATGTTCCGAAGTTTACGGATTAGTTTTATATGCAAGTTCTAAGTGAGGGAGCAGGGAGCGGCGAAATAGGTTCTTCAGGATCTGGTTCAGTTTGTGAATAAGATGTACGGTTACGGAGACCTTGAAGAGGTTGCATTGTTATAATCGCTCGGCTGCTGCCAGATTTACATTTTGAATTAATAATACAATATATTTTATAGCTAATAAAATCATAATGATTACAAAAACAATAATCGTTGTTATTGAATAG